GGTTAGAGACATGATATCAGAGCCCGACCAACTTTGTGTCTGGGTTAGAGACATGATATCAGAGCCCACTTTGTGTCTGGGTTAGAGACATGATATCAGGACTCACAAGTGCGGGGGCGTGTTAGAATATCACTTGTGAGTTGTCCCACATTGTTCATACATGGAAAATAGACCCACCTTATAAGACTAATGGGCTACTCCTTCTTTAACCAATTGGTTTTGGGATGGAACCCCACTTGGGCTTCATATGGGCTTTCCTTTTCCCCCAGTTTCTTACAGCAACGTTGGTTCCTCAGGTGGTGCTCGTGCGATTGTGGTGCGGCGGCTTCGAAGTGTGCGTGGGGAGGCTGTGGAGTGAGCTGGTCCGAGTTGCTTTGGCGGAGTAATAGGCAGAGCTGACGGGTATGTGGTCTGGATCCTGTTAGCCCATTAAGTGAGTTGCGTAATCCGTTGTTTGGGTCGTGGATCTTGTGGCTTCTCTCGATAGTTCGCATTTGGAGTTGGCTTGGCATGTGGTGATGTTGGGTCTCTGTTCGGTGGGAAGAGTTTAGTTTTTTCTCTGTTTTAGAGATTTGTTATTTAATTTGTGTTTTTTCTTCTTCTCTCCCGTTGGGAGTGTGTAGTGTATTCTCTTATTCAGAGCTTTTGTTTTTTTTTTCTCATTTTAGGAGTCTTTTAGTTGATCTCTACTAGAGTTAGTTATTCAGCTTATTCGGTCGTTAGCTGTTTATTCGGCTGAGTAGTTGTTCTTCAGTCTCGTTTTTTGTTGTGAGTATAAGTGTTTCCTCTCGTTCATTAAAAAAAAACAAAAGTTTACTTAAATTAATTTATGTATTAATATTTGAGAAAATAAAATAAAACTTAAATTAAATTATGTATTAATATTTGAGAAAATAAAATAAAAGGACGTCCGTTTCAAAGTCATTATACTAATCCAGAACAATTATGAGACGCGATTTTTTTTTTTTTCAGAAATTTCTAGATTATATAATTAACTGAAGGGTGAATATAAAAATTGCCCATAAAACTGAAACGAATCTGTTGGAATATTCGATTGCCAGCTAAAATGTGAACAATCACTATCAAAAGAGCTAATTATAGAAACCCTAATTCCACTAATACTGCAACAAAAATATAAACTAATTTGTACCCAAAAAAAATAAAAATATAAACTAATTAATCCGACATGAATTAACTACGATTATTCTACTCACATAATAATTTTATTTAATGAAAATAGAGATAAATGTTATGCGAAAAAAGTGAAAAGTAAATATGAAGTGACGTAATGTATTTATTAATTAAATCAAAATAATAATAATAAAATATACAAAAAAATTCAAAACGACATTTATTTTTAACTAATAGTTGATGAAATTAAAATGATATTTTAAAAAAAAAATAGCAGACATGTGAACTTGCTAGAGTCACCGATGGTAGTTTCTAGGAATCTGTCACCGGGACACGTGGCGATATCTATGTGATTTAACTCAAATCTTGAAGCGCCACCTGGGTTACGGCGCTGCGCGATGCGGGGCCCACTGACCTTCAACGCACCGACACCTGCCGAAGCTGCTCGAGCGACACGTGGCTTACATGCTCAGTATTTGTCGGTGAAGGTCGGCTGTTGGCCGGAATTTAGTTATTTATTTTCAGTTTAGACCGGTTACCTAAGTATGGGCTTTTTTCACCTCTTTTCTCCCGAATTTGAGGAAATAATAATAATAATAATAATAATAATAATAATAATAATAATAATAATAATAATAATAATAATAATAATAATAATAATAATAATAATAATAATTAAATAATAATAATAATGTTGTTTTGGACGGCTAAAAAGTAGTAAAACAAATTCACGATATTTTGAGAAATTCAATGTTTTAAATTAATAAAAAGTTGAAAAAATTTATGGTGTATTAAAATTTAAATTCAAATCGCAATTTATACTAAAAAATTTCGACTCAATTTTAATCCAACCTCGTTATCTTTAATATTATCAATATAAATAGATATCATTAATTAATTATTCTTACACATCATATCAACTTTAATTTACTATTAATACACTCACATAATCTAAATTGACTATCACTTCATATTATTTTTATCCTACTTTTACATCAAATTAAATATAATTATTTTATTTTAAATATTTGTTAATAAAATATAAAAACCACACTAACAACTAATCATACTTTTTTTTTTTCAAAACTAACATTGATTATAAAAAAAAAACTCATTTTAAAACAATATATTTGTATACAAACACGCCCTTAATGGTTACAACTTACAAGTTGTTCCATACTATCAAGACTATGTTTGATAAACTTAGGTGATAAGTTAGCTGATAAACCAGTTGATAGCGTATAAGTGAATTTTTTAACTTATAGTTGATAACTTATAACTTGTCTCAAAAATTAGCTTGTATGATAAAAATATTCGGTAAATTTAGCTGATAAATTAGTTGATATAAAAATTTCAACATGTTATTTGAAAAACTATCCAAAGACGTTATGAGATAAATTCGAGTTTTTTTTTTTTTTTTTTTTTTTTTAAAAAAACTCATGCTAAACCACACTTATATGAATATACAAAACTTATAAGTTATTCAAATAAAATACAAGCTAGCTTATGAAGCTTACCAAATACACTCTAGATCTAAGGTTGTGTTTGGTAAACTAGCGTATAAGCTAGCTGATAGTAAACTTGCTTATAGATTATAAGTGATTTCGAGCTTATAGCTGATAAATTATGACTTATGGTTAAAAAACTAATTTATATGATAAAAGAGTTCGGTAATATTAGTTGATAAACTAGCTGAAATAAAAAATTTCTAACGGGTTTAATTTATTATATTTTATCTCACATACATTTGTAATATAAAACATATTCCATTTTTTTTTCATTTTCACTTTGTGTCTCATTTTTATCATTATAACATTTTTTTTTTTAAAAAAAAAAAATCTACATTAAGGCGTAAATAGCGCCACATAATCGTTGCACTCTTTGATTAGTGGCTACGAAACACACACACATATATGTAATGTAATTAAAGTGTGATTTTAATTAATGATGTTCCAACTAATTAATTAATAATCTCATTCAGCACCGCCCAATCCCATACATATCATATTCCTCAACCGTCGATCCTTTGTTTTCTTCACATCTACGGCTCAGATGAATACTGTCTCCCAACTCCCAAATTTCCGTTGCCAGCATCATGATTAAATTGTTCCCGTAAATTACTATACATACACGTCACGTTTGGGCAGTTGACAGTTACGATCCGTTGTAATTATAATGATGTTTATTTCATTTATTGTATTAGCGAAGGGAAATGATTTACCGAATTGTTCCGTCAGGATTTGGAATCGTTAGATTATCATGTAACCGTTGTGGATAGTTGATCTGACGGTTACATATTCCGACGGAATAATTCTGTAATAGGATCGTAGAATCTCCCATTAATAAAATGGTAGAAAGAAAAAAGGTAATGAACAACATTTTTTTTTTTGTTTCTATCGGTGTTTTAAAAGTTGCTAGACGCTCGACTAGTGCCTAGACGGCGCCTAAAAATCAATATAAAATACCTTATTTTTTATTTATTTTAGTTACCTACAAAATAAAACTATCTCAACGTATAATAAATCGACACATGTAAATCCAAATAATAATATTAATATATTTAAAAAAACAAAATAACGAAATAATTTTGTAGTATTTAAAAAATTAAAAAAAAAAATAAAAACTGAAAAATTGCCGCCAAGTCCACATAGGAGCGCTTAAGTTCGCTTATGCCCGCCTAGGCGTCGCCTAACTGTCTTGTCGTCAAGTCCGCCTAGGACCGCTTAGACATCGCCTAGCCGATTTTTTTCTGTCAATTTGTTCAAATCGGAGGCGTTCGAGAAAAACAAACCGTTCAAAGATTTTGGGAAAACAAACCCTTCAAGATTTGGGTTGAAATCGGTGCAAAGAACCATTTATTATATTATATTCTATTGAATTAAATTAAGGATCAAATCCTCACATAAGAAGCTTCATGTATATTCATAGTACCATTTGACCGTCGCCACGTCATTTTCAACGCCATATTTTTCCCTCTCTCTTTTCTCTCTCCTCAAAATTTCTATATAAACCGGCAAACACCAAAGACCACAAACACACTTCAAAACAAATTCACTTCAATTCTCAATTCTTCAAATACACTTTACTAATTCCCTTTCATTTTCTCCCCAAAAAAAAAAAAAATAAAAAAGAAAAGAAAAAATGGCTCCTCAAATCTTGAACAATACTCCCTTGAACCGGGGCTCTTCCGGTCTAGCCAAAGCCGGCAGCCTGCCCAGCCGTGCTTACGTCACCTTCCTGGCCGGCAACGGGGACTACGTGAAAGGCGTGGTGGGGCTGGCCAAGGGGCTGAGGAAGGTCAACAGCATATACCCGCTAGTCGTGGCTGTGCTGCCGGATGTTCCGGCGGAGCACCGCCGGATACTGGTGGATCAGGGCTGCATAGTGCGTGAGATCCAGCCGGTTTACCCGCCGGAGAACCAAACCCAGTTCGCCATGGCCTACTACGTCATCAACTACTCCAAGCTTCGCATTTGGGAGGTAAAAAATTCAATTATTTTAAAAATCCCCAAATATTTATTCTTGAATTTCTTACCTTAAATTATATTATATTAAAAATTCAATTATACTAATGATATTACTAACGAAAATTCTTAGTAACAGGAAAATTTTGTACTTATTTAGGATATATTTCATTTAAAAGGGAACGGCTAAAGTCCCGTTGACGGAATAGTTCTGTCACGATTTGTTATCGTAGATTATCTACACAACATAATATATTTTTCTTATCGAATAGTGGAAACTGCTGACGGTGCGGTCTCGGGATCTTAGCATTTTCTTCATTTAAATTCGAAATTCTAAATAATATTTGATCTTTGATGCGTGTTGTTGTTGCAGTTTGTGGAGTACAGCAAGATGATATATTTGGATGGGGACATTCAGGTGTTCGATAACATTGACCATCTGTTTGACCTGCCCAACGACTACTTCTACGCCGTGATGGACTGTTTTTGCGAGAAGACATGGAGCCACACTCCTCAGTACAAAATCGGGTACTGCCAGCAGTGCCCGGATCGGGTCAAGTGGCCCAAAGAATTGGGCCCAAAGCCCGCTCTCTACTTCAACGCCGGCATGTTCGTGTTCGAGCCCAGTCTGCCCACTTACCACGACCTCTTGCGGAAGCTCAAAGTCACCACTCCAACTTCATTCGCTGAACAGGTAATAATCAATCGTCTATATACAGAAAATAGGCCTAACTTATAAGACTAGTGAACTACTTCTCCTACCATTAATCTAGGCTCACCCGGCTCCACGTTTGTGGGACCGCACTCGTCAACCCCCGTTTTACAGTATTAAAATCTTCGAGTAATAACTTTGTGAAAAAAATGTTGTAGGATTTTCTGAACATGTTCTTTAAGGACAAATACAAGCCGATCCCGAATGTGTACAATCTCGTGCTGGCCATGCTTTGGCGCCACCCGGAGAACGTGAAGGTCGAGGAGGTGAAGGTGGTGCACTACTGTGCGGCGGGGTCCAAGCCGTGGCGCTACACCGGCGAAGAAGAAAACATGGACCGGGAGGATATCAAGATGCTAGTGGCCAAGTGGTGGGACGTGTATAATGACCACACACTGGATTACAACCACCCTGGAACCCCAGCCGCGGCCGCCGCCGACGAGGCGGAAGAGGCCCAGCTGGCGGCGGCGCTGAACGAGGCCGGGGTTGTTCACTATATCGCCGCCCCTTCCGCCGCCTGAGTTGGGTACCAGCTGGCGGCGTAGATTTGATTTGGACTCTAATACCCTTTTTTTTTTTTTTTTGGGTTTGTGTTTTTTGGTATTTTTGAGTCTGTGTATTATTGGGCCTGAATATTTTAAGAAGAGGCCCAAGTGAAAGAAGCCTGTCTAAGTAGTAAGGACACTGTTGTGCTTGGATTTAATTTTCCTCAATGTAAATTATTATTATATGCTAATATGCTATAAAATGTTATAATTTTATTTATATTATTTGAGTATGATATTTTAGTTTGAAACTATGTGAATATATAAAAAAATTAGTAGCCTAACAGCAATTTTAAATAATTGGATTTTTTTATTTCATTTTTTACGATAGATAATTTATTTTTACAATAAAAGTAAATATAATAATTTATGTATATATGTCATATGAATGTCAAATTGAAAGTCGTCAATGATTAATTTAATATATTCTATTCAAAAAAATTGATAAAAAAATATTAAACTTGTTAACCTCAGAAGAATGGTTTTAAGAGTGATAGAACTCCAAGCCCATATGGATGGATTCTCATAATGAGAACATAAATTGATTGGACGAAAAAATTATAATAAATAGTATTGTTGTAAGACTGTTATAAATTAATATATTGATGTTACAAATAAATATATTGATGTTAAGACGTCAACCACAATTAATCGGACGGATTAATAGGGTATTAAGGTGATTAAGGATGTTGGAGTGATCGTTATTGAAGGTTGATTAGTTCTTTTGTAAATAAGACTTCTAACGTAAAAACAAAATAAATATGTTAAAAACGAGACGTCCGGACCACCCTCTCAAAGGATCGGCATAAAAAAAAAAGAGGGTTTAGTATTATCATATTCATAAAGTTTGCGAGTTTTTAATGTCTTTATTTTGAGGCTTGAAGGGCCGCTGATACATGAAAAAAATAGAAATTTAATGATGGCATCATGTCAACTAAGGGTGTGAAGAAGTGAAACACATATTCATGAAAAAATTTCGACTTTTGATGATGGGACCGGTTGGGCGGTCGTTTTATCAAATTACTTTATATGTTTCTCTCTCATAATGAAGTGAGATAAACAAAAGCTGTTGGACTATGCTACTTGATGGATTGGCGCTCGGACTTGAAGAGAGATCGAATTGGATTGGTGCTCGAAGTTGACGATAGATCGGCCCAGGAGGGGTTGTGCTGGTTTTTAGGCCTTTTTCCTTCAACAAATCACTTGGTGATAAGTTTTCTCAGTGCATATCTACCTTTTTCTGGAGTATCTCTACATAGATAGGGTTTTGTTTTTGCCGAGCTGAGAAAGCGTCGAGTTCAGATTTTTTTATTTCGACTTTTGACAATGAAGGAGAAGCCGTGGGGGTACCGATTGACTTTGATGGTTGATTTAGACCACAAAAAGGTTGAGGTTACTTATCGAGATATTTAATGTTGGGCCCCCAGTTTCTTGGTTACTACTCTACTCGGTGGTCTGGACTTTGGGCAGTCATGATCAAGAATAAGGGAGTTATCGCCCGACTAGACAGATTGATCACCGGGTTAAAAATTTCAAGACCTAAGGACAAGGTCCGTAAAGAAACCCCATAGGGATGTCCTTCTCACAGTCGTCCTTAGATCGTCCGAACACTTGGTAGTCGTTATACGTTCGGACCGATTACTCTGAACTTGCAATATTCTTGTTGAGGGTGAGTTAAACGACCATAGTCTTGTTGAAGGTGAGCTAATATAGAAATAGTGGGAAGATTTTCTGGCCGTATTTATTTTAATGGTGAGAGGAGGAAAAATAATTATATTTTAGAAGAGATTTTTTAGAGCATTTATTTGGGTAGAGTAATAGGACAAAAGGGGTTGCTCGGAGGGTCGTTTTTTCCGCCCTTCCTTTTGGTTGGAATAACTGAGAAAGGTAAATCATTCTTCATCTGTATGAAAAGTTATGGAGAATGTGGCTATATAGAGAGAGATTCACAGTGACCCTTGATTGATCGCCCTCCGTCTAGCGCCATTTTGTTAATGCTAAGACGTCAACTACAGTTAACGAGGCACATTAATAGGGTATTAAGACGATTAAGGATAACAGAAGGACCGTCATTGATGGTTGATTGGTTGACTTTTGTGAATAAGACTTGTAACGTAAAAATAAAACAAATATGTTATAAAGAGACGACTTATCTGCTCTCTAAAGGGATTGGCATAAAAAGTACCAAAAAGACAGAGGGTATAGTAGTATTATATTCATGAAGATTCCAATTTGAGGCCTTAAGGGTCGTATTTATACATGAAAAAAATAGTAGAAGTGTAATGATGGCTTCATGCCAACTAAGGTCGTGAGAGAGTGACATGTGTATTGTATTCATGCAAAAATCTCGACTTTTGATGATGAGAGCGACTTAACAATTGTTTTATCAGTTTTCTTTATCGGTTTCTCATTCACTGTAGAGAGATCGTCAAAACTTGTTGGATTGTACTACTTGAGTGATTGGCGCTCGGACTTGACGAGAGATCATATTGGATATATAGGTGCCCGGAGTTAACAAGAGATCGGCGCAGGACGAGTTGTGCGGGTCTTTGAGCCCTTTTCCTTCAGAAAATGATGCAGGCCCAATTTTCTTTGAAAATAACGTACCTTTTTGCTCAATGGGCCAGCCCAAGGTATTTGTAATTTTTATGCACAATATATTTTCATACTCAATTGTCATATTTTAAAATAAAATAAAATAAAAGTATTACATTTAATAAAATAAATACAACTTGTTATAATAATTATGGTTGTCTAATCAGCATATGTTTATGATATAATATAAACATCAAAAAGAATATGCATGGCTCGTATCTTAGACAATTGAGACTCGAGCCATAGCCGACGAATAAGCATTTATCAAATAAAACTGGGGAAACTATCAAAATTCAAGTTCTGCAGTTTTTGGGTTGTCCATTTTTTGTCCTGTTGAAATGGTGTTTTTCAAAATCATTCCCCTTTTAACTTTTAAATTCAATCAAAATAAAGACAATAGTTGTCGAAACTGTCTTTTCTAGATCGTAAATGACACGTCATGCCGTCGTGTTTTAATAACATTAAGCTAGTCCATTTAACTTTTGTGAAAGGAGTCAAGCTTTCCGCAGCTAGAAAGCAGAGACCCACGAAGGCGAGATGATCCCAAAGCGAGAATGAAGCGTCAGCCATTACTTGACCAAGAACGTGAGAGCTTCATAAATGAACCTTCCAGGGAATAATATTTTTGGTATTTTTTGAAAGTCTTCTTTTTTCTTAAGCGTTGGCATTCATTGGGCTTTTAGATAGATAATTAGGGCTTTTACCTCAT